GGGTTTTGATGACCGTGTTGGTGGTGTGGGTTTCGATGACCGTGTAGGTGATGTGGGTTTCGATGACCGTGTTGGTGGAGTGGGTTTCGATGACTGTGTTGGTGGTGTGGGTTTCGATGACAGTGTTGGTGGTGTGGGTTTTTATGGCCGTATTGGTGGTGTTGGTTTTAATGGCCGTATCAATTGTGTGGGTTTTGATGGCCGTATTGGTGGTGTGGGTTTTGATGACCGTATTGGTGGTGTGGGTTTTGATTACCGGTTATTGGTCGTGTGGGTTTTGATGACCCTATATTGGCGGTGTGGGTTTTGATGATCGTATATTGGTGGTGTGGGTTTCGATAACCGTGTTGGTGGTGTGGGTTTCGATGACCGTGTTGGTGGTGTGGGTGTCGATGACCGTGTTGATGGTGTGGCTTTCGATGACCGTGTTGGGGGTATGGGTTTCGATGACTGTGTTGGTGGTGTGGGTTTTGATGACCGTGTTGGTGGTGTGGGTTTCGATGACCGTGTTGGTGGTGTGGGTTTCGATGACCGTGTTGATGGTGTGGCTTTCGATGACCGTGTTGGTGGTATGGGTTTCGATGACTGTGTTGGTGGTGTGTGTTTCGATGACCGTGTTGGTGGTCTGGGTTTTGATGACCGTGTTGGTGGGGTGGGTTTCGATGACAGTGTTGGTGGTGTAGGTTTAGATGACCTTGTTGGTAGTGTGGGTTTCGATGACCGTGTTGGTGGTGTGGGTTTCGATGACCGTGTTGGTGTTGTGGGTTTCGATGACAGTGTTGGTGGTGTGGCTTTCGATGACCGTCTTGGTGGTGTGGGTTTCGATGACTGTGTTGGTGGTATGGGTTTCGATGACCGTGTTGGTGGGGTGGGTTTCGATGACCGTGTTGGTGGTGTGGGTTTCGATGACCGTGTTGGTGGTGTGGGTTTTTATGGCCGTATTGGTGGTGTTGGTTTTGATAACCGTATTGGTGGTGTGGGTTTTGATGACCGTATTAATTGTGTGGGTTTTGATGGCCGTATTGGTGGTGTGGGTTTTGATGACCGTATTGGTGGTGTGGGTTTTGATTACCGGTTATTGGTGGTGTGGGTTTCGATGACCGTATATTGGCGGTGTGGGTTTTGATGATCGTATATTGGTGGTGTGGTTTTTGATGACCGTGTTGGTGGTGTGGGTTTCGATGACCGTGTTGGTGGTGTGGGTTTTGATGACCGTGTTGGTGGGGTTGGTTTTGATGACCGTGTTGGTGGTGTTGGTGGTGTGGGTTTCGATGACTGTGTTGGTGGTGTGGGTTTCGATGACCGTGTTGGTGGTGTGGGTTTTGATG